CTCGTCGTTCCAATACCCGTTCCTAACCGAATTGGAAGACAAACGAACCGCGAATTGGAACGAACGAATTGAAACAAGATTCGTAGGGGTGGGGGCGAATTAGGTAACACTGATTAGAATCATATATTCAATCAATTGATTCCTTATTTACTATTCTAATTTTTCTGACTTGCGGTCTTGCGGAGGGCAATTGGCGATTGCGAACTGGCCTAATTGAGAAATTAAAAGGTATGCTTGTTTCTCCCTCCTCTTTCCTATTTTTAATTATTAAAACATAACTTATAAGTTATAATTATAATAATAATTATGATTTAAAAAATTCTACAAATCTTCGATGATGTCTAATAATTCTGTAAATTTCTTTTCTGTACAGTAATTTTGTATTTCTGTATATGTTTTGTTTATTGTACAAATTGTAATTCTCAAATTCTGTACAAACTTACGATTATAAATTATAAAGAGAATAAAAATGTAATTCAAAATATGCCGATTTACTTAACCTCTAAAGCAAGAAGGATTCTATTCGAACTATCATGATAGTATCTAAAACTAAGTGGTAAAAATAATTATTATTTATTTATTATTTTTATGAATATATAGTAGGTTCGAAAGATGTCGATTTGCCTAACGTCTAAGACAAACGAACTCTCCTTGATTATTTAAAAAATGACATAAAACGAGATTTAATATTTAACGTAAAACAAAATGAAATTGAGAGAATTTAATTCGCCCAAAGCCTAGGACAAAGAGATTCACCTTGAATTATTTCTATCTCGCGTTAACCAGAATAAAACAAGGTAATTTGTGAACATAATATTTCATAAAAAATAATATAATATTTAACAAAATAAATAAATTACTTAATGTAAATATGTAAATAAAAAATTAGAATATATACATATAAGGCGTATTTAAAATCCATACAAATATAACTTATAAAATAATAATATATTTGGCCAATCATAAATTTTATGTATATATCTATAGAATAAATATAGTATGCATATATATACACATATAATAAACTGTTGTAACCCAATATATACATATATGTAAAGCGAATGAAGTAAATGGTATGTATTTATGTGATTTATGATATAATGGTAAACAAAATTGTTGGGTGCATATATAAATAAGGCATATTTAGTAAATGTAATACATACAAGGTATAATATAAGAGATAGAATGGTAACATCAAATCTGCAAACAATTAGACCCATTTACACGTGAATAAGATAGGAATAGATTAGAAAAAAAAGTAAAATTAATTAATAAAAAGATAAAATGCAAACAAGATTCTAGAAATAAAATTAAAAGATACTAAAAATTAATTAAAATAAATATGAATCAATAAAGTTATCTAACGAATAAAAATAAAGGAAAAGAAACTAAAGGAAATTATAACTAAATTGCATATTTAATCAAGCAATCATGGAAGGGACTAAAATGAAGAATAACACAATGTAATGTCGAAATTAAGGACTTTATTGAAGCAAATGGGGGCTAAAACGCAAAACATACAAAAAATAGAAGACTAAATATGCAATAAGTCAGAAATTCAGCTAAGCATAAAAACCAAAAAAAAAAGGTGACCAATATGAATGCGGGAATAGCTTAAATGCTCGAATGTAAAAATAAGAAAAAGCTTTATGATGACATATGATCCTTCCTAATTAGGTATTCATTCCCTACGAAAATCCTTATAAATTGTCAAGATTTTTTAAAGCACTAGATCACCCTCTTTGTATTTTGTTAGACGAACTTCTGTGTACTGAGTCGTACCATTAGCTTTTAATACATATGTTCATGGCATAAAGTTTTAATCTCCTTTTCTTCAATGAGTTTCAAATGATTATATCGAACTTTAACTAATTCAGGTTTGTCCAATCTTTACTTTTTTCAAGACTTTAATCGATGGAATTTCGACATAGATAGGTAAAGCTGTTTTTATTCCATACACCAAAGAGAAAAGGCGTTGCCCTATTGAAGTATGTACTAAAGTCTGACATGCATACACGACGAAGGGCAATTTATTGTGACAATTCTCACTATCCTCGTAGTTGATAGACTACTAACAAAGAATCTCCATATACTTTCAGCACTTTAAATTTTCTTTATATGGATGCTTCTTATCTCTATAGCGGAAGCCTCAAATTTTGTCATATTATCAGTGAAAAAGAACTCTGGTTTACTTGTGAAAGGGTAATTGATGTATTTTGAAGAAATCAGTATTGCCCTAATTCTTCGTCCCAAAGCATTTGATGCTCCATCAAAATAAAGCCTTTAGGATTTTTCGTTTGAAACAAACTCTTCTTCAAATACTCATAAAATGTCAAATTCTGATAATAACATATGTCACCCAACCATTTTTTTAGCCAAAACTAATGATTCTATTAAGAATTTGAGTGGATTAAGTTTGGACATGAAACAAGTGGCATGATATAAACATGTATTTCCTGAGCCTCCAGGTTGTCCAAACCAAAGCACAACATAGCTTCTGAATTGATGGGTACTGAACTTCACAATTTCCCTTTGATTTGCATATGATCATTGGTTCGATTCTCTCCAACGCCCAATTTCCGTTTGATTCATTTTCCCTTTAAACATATGGTGACACGTGTCACCACCTAAATGGTGAAAATATTATTCAATTAAAATATTAAAAATAGTTTAAAAACCATTCAATCATGTTTTGACACGTGTCATGTCACCTGTAATCTTTAACACGTGTCGTCACATGATTGAAAGATCAAATTTAATGAAGTAATTTAAAATTATGACCAATTTGATATATTTTGTAAGTAATAAAAACTAAATGTGTAATTAATCAATTTTATTAACTGTTACGTCAACACTTCCGTTAAATGTTACCAGAAGTGGCTTGATTGAATGCATTTAAATAACTGAATAATCTGATTGATAAAATTTCAAAAATGATGATCAAAATGAAAAGGGACAATAGTTGGTGATCATCGCTATAATTTACCCTTTATTTTTTAGGGTAAATTACTTGTTTGGTAATTAAACTTTACTATATTTTTTTATTTCTCACTATACTTTGAATTTTTTTAATTTACTAATTAAACTTTATACTTTGATTTTTTTAAACACTCGACCATTTTTTCCCTAAACTATTTTATGACATGTCATTTTTTATTAATTTTTAATCAATTAATATTATTTATATTTTTTTATTATCCATCACCCAATTCATCTTCTCCACCATCACTGATTAAATCTCGCCACCATTTCTCTTCCTCTTCTAATATCTCCACCCCCACCCCTAACCCCAACAACATCTGTCATCGAAACTTTTATGAGCTTCGACCTTTCTACTTCTTCCCAGCAACATCTCCATGCTCTCATTGAAGGCGCCCACGAGTGTTGGACTTAAGCCATTTTTTGACAATCCTCCTATGATTACTCCAGGTCCTCGATACTGGGTTGAGACAAAGGGTATTGGGTATTACAAATGGAACTTTTGGAACAAGAGCACTGTAAAAAAGTGATTAGAGAACTTAATTCTTTGATTTTCGGTTCCATGGCAGGTTTTCAATTTGTAAACGATGGTTTGTATACTGTCGTAAAATGGGGTGGAAAATCTGAGTCAAGGGCATGGTTTATTGTATTTGTCTTTTGAATCATGTAAGATTTGAAATCAAAGCTTGGGTTTTAAGGTTGAAGACCAAATTTTCAATTTTCAAATTCAAATTGATTTCAAATTATGGTTTGATTTAAGGGGTGTGTGGGGTCGTACAGTGTGTCCTTTGGTAAAGATCAAATTGAAAGAGGAGATGTAAAGGGTTGATCCTTTGGGATTGAAGATGACAGATTCATGAGGGTTTGAACACAAAAAGTTTTGGATAAACGAGGAAAATCAGAACAATTGATAAATCAGTGAAGAAAGTCGAAGGAGGAGAGGGAAAGAAGAGATAAAAAGTTCTGATGGTTGAATGAAATTGGAGACAAACCTTGCAGTCAACTTTGCTTGTGCAAATCTAGTGCACCATTGTTCGTTCATACTTGAACCATTAGAACGAAGATTTTGGTCGATGGTCGTTATAAAGACGGCGGCGTGATGATCGGGATTTAGGGTGATTCAGGTTGAAGACAGAAAATGGAGAAAGAGAAATGGGATAAACGGCGTGATGATCGTGATTTTGGAGAGATGGGGGGAGGAGGTGGAAGAAAAAGAAAGAAGGAAAAGGGATAAAATGTAAAAAAAGAAAATAAATTTATTTTTTATTTATACTAAAACTATATTATTTTGATCTAAATTTAATTTGTGTATAGATTTAAAACTACTCCATTTTATTATAAGTTTTTATGTCATAACGTCGTTAATTATTTAACGGTAGAATGATCAAAAAAGTTAAATGTATATAGTTAAGTGAGTAAATTAAAAAAATTAAAAGTACAATGAATAATATAAGATAGAATAAAATTCAGTTATCAAATATGTAATTTACCATATTTTTAATAAATGTCATAACATTATCAAACCACGTTAGTAATATGAACTAACGCATAGATGCAAAAGACTAACAGTTGTATTAGTCAAAATGAGCTTTAAGAGCTAGGAATATACACCCTTAAATAAATTAGAGGGTTAAATTAATGTGAATATACCATAGAGATGAAAATGATAAATTAAATTTACTATAAGTATAAAATTAACCTTTAAGACATATTTTTATTTAAAAAAATAAAGATATATATAAATATGAGACGTGTAATTTAATGATTGTTTAATAGTCTATATAAGGTAAGTAACTAAAAATATAATAAATAATATATATCATGCAGATACTTAAAGATATAATGACGAAAATATTAGATAGTTATTTTTAATATTAAAAAATTTTAATATCTAAATTTAAACGTGAAAAGTTTATTAACTAAAATAATAGTTTAAAAAAAAGGTCAACGAAATTGTGGGTTAGTGTTGATAATCCATACAATGAGTGGTTAAAACTTAGAACTCCAAAGCAGGTGAGAGAAAATCACAAGGCAAAAACACTATGTTTTAGCGATGGAGGAGAGGCTCTCTGCATCCGTGGGTCTCCCTTCGCTTGAATCAAATCAGTTTCCCCAAGCACCAATCAACACCGATTTCGCTTCTCTTTTCACCCGTTTTACCACTCTCACTTCATCCTCCCCAAATCCTAAAAAAAAAAAACCCAAAAATCTCCAGCACCACCACTCCTTTGCCTCTACTTCCATTTCCGCTGATTCTCAATCGGATCTATGGAAACCCAAGTTTCAAATTCCGCTCCCTTTTTCCAATTTAACTGATTCCCGAAAACCCAAATCCCTATCATTCTACAAATGCCTAAAACCCACATCGAGAAACAACCCCAAAGTCCAAACCCTTATGAAAAACTTATCAGTCTTCGAAAGAGCTCTAATCGGCGCAGGTGGTGGCGGAATTGCTGGTGCATTCACCTACGTCTGCCTTCTCCCACTGGATACAATCAAGACCAAAATGCAGACCAAGGGTGCTTCCCAGATTTATGCCAACACCTTCGATGCAGTTGTCAAAACTTTCCAGACGAGTGGTATTCTAGGATTTTACAGAGGAGTTTCGGCTGTTATTGTAGGTTCAACGGCTTCTTCTGCTGTTTACTTTGGGACATGTGAGTTTGGGAAGTCCTTTTTGTCCAAATTGGAGTATCCTTCTTTGCTTATTCCTCCCACTGCTGGTGCCATGGGAAATATTGTTTCATCAGCTATAATGGTACCCAAGGAATTGGTTACCCAAAGAATGCAAGCTGGTGCTAAAGGGCGATCATGGGAAGTGTTGCTGAGAATTTTAGAAAAGGATGGTATTTTGGGTCTTTATGCTGGTTACTCGGCTACTCTGTTAAGGAATTTGCCTGCTGGTGTGTTAAGTTATTCCTCTTTCGAGTATTTAAAAGCTGCGGTTTTGAGTAAGACAAAGCAGACTAATTTAGAGCCAATTCAGAGTGTTTGTTGCGGCGCTATGGCTGGTGCAATTTCAGCTTCTTTGACAACTCCTCTCGATGTGGTTAAAACAAGGTTGATGACTCAGGTTCATGGCAATAAAGTCACCGCCGCTATGTATAGTGGCGTTAATGCGACGGTGAAGCAGATTTTGAAGGAGGAAGGTTGGATTGGTTTGACTAGTGGGATGGGGCCTAGGGTTGTTCATAGTGCTTGTTTTTCAGCTTTGGGATATTTTGCATTTGAGACTGCTAGGCTTGCAATATTAGATCAGTATTTGAAGCACAAGGAGGAGTTGTCCAAAATCGATATTGCACCAGCTTGAGTTACAGTTAGTTGATGATCATGCTCATCATCATCTCTACTTTGGTAAATTTGTTTTGTTTTCATATAGAGTTGTTTAAACAAACTAAATTTCGGCATTACAGTATCGTACATTTCTTGGTTGAAGTTTCAGTTTCTTGTTTTCAACTTATAATTTATGTCCATGTTAGATAAGTTTGATTAGTGCTCCAATGCATTCTGAACCTTCTTCATAGTATCTCATAATCAGTATGCTGAATATTACCTTTTCTAGTTCTACTTCTAACATTCGAGTTTGATACCATCATTACTAGTCCGTGCATGGTTGAAGTCTTAGCTTAAAGAATATCCAAAAGCTTCACTTCAGTAATAGTTTTAAGTGTCTATGATTTCCAAGTTAGCTAGCAGTAATGTACCTTTTTCTTGTTATGTCATATTGATTAGGGCTTGTCATTATTTTGTAAATCTATTCAAGAATGACTGATAGTACTTCATTGATGGTGCTGTATTCTTTTCATTAAAAGCTAACCATAACTTCCCAAGTTATGGTCCATCTCCAGCACTGTAAAGCTCTCTGGTCTGAACTTGAGTGTGGATACATGCATCATATGGGTTTAAGATACATCATTGGTGATGGTTTGTAATTCTCTTTTGAGGAAGATGCAAATATGCAAACTATCATCGGTTTTCCTTGATAAATTTCACTGTCAAGTTTTTCATGAAGACTAATATTAGAATCAAGCAACTGCAACTCAGTCTTTTATGTTTTTGGCGTGGAATGTTAAATTATCTAGAAATAGAATCAAGCAAGTAGCTTGTTTTTTTTTAAATGGAAATTTATAGTTATCAAGTTAGATTATATGTCCATTGCACAAGTTAGTTTACTTTTATGTGAGCGAATGCATGCACATTGAATGAAAAAAAATTTCCCTGCTGCTGCTGATAGATATTATACTTCTAGTTGATCCCTTTAGAAACTGAATTGATTTTCATTCTCTTTCTGCTGATAGAAATGGCTTCTTTAAGTCTCGGTATGAAAGGTTCATTATTTTGTTATGTGGCAAATGGCTTTTTCTGTTGTCGTTATTGGATAAAAAAACTTTTCTTTGATGGATGGTGATAAATTTGGGAATTGGAGAGCAAGCATGATTGGTATATAGCTTTTTCTGTATATAAAGCCTGCTTCTTTGGGTCAAGTAGGTGGTGATAGAAGGTAAATATGATAGTGTTGCTTCTATAATACCATTATGTAGGTTCCAGTTTGATCTCCGAGATCCAATCGTAACATTTTGTAGATTCTAGTTTAATCTTCGAGATTCAATCATAACATTATGTAGGTTTCAGTTTGATCTCTGTGATTCAATCGTAAGTCTAGGCTTGGTCAAGGTGGTTAGGTTAAAAGTATCGGATACGGTGTGTATATACGTTAAAAGTGATTGGGGCAGGGAATTGCTGTATTAGAACGTAGAATAGCATATGATGTAGGCTGTAGGATTATGGAAGGCATGCTTGCAAGGTTTGGGCTGCTAAAATATGTAATTTACCCTTTATTTGTTTTGGAGAAAATTTTAGGGTAAACTACGTGTTTAGTACCTAAACTATCAATTTTGATATGTTTAGTACCTATGTTTTCAATTTTTTCAAAATCATATCTAACGTTTAGTTTTTGTTTCATTAGTACCTAAACTAATGGTTTTTATCTGTAGAGAAAGCTTTTTGCCCCAAAATGAAACGTTGGGACCCAAAATGTTTCATAAAAAATAATAGGAGGTACAATGATCATTTTGCTAAATGTTAGAGGTTATTTTTGGCATTATGCATTTTTTTATTAAGAGAGTAGGTATTAAATTTTCGAAAAAAGAAATATCAAGATTTAAATACACGTAATGAAATAATATTAATATTAATTATCCAAACAATTAATAAATCTCAAAATCAAATGAGCAATTTAAAACTATTCTGCACAGCAATTCATCATAAATTAGATTAAACTTAATCTCTGGCCCATTTTAAACAATGCCCGCAATGCTTGATCAGACCGGCCGAAAAACCAATAGAGCGTCACTTCAACTTATCCCACAACATTTATAAAGGTAAAATAATTCAAACAAAATATAATTGTAAAAGTTCGGGAAAGTATAAAATTGTACATGTAAAAATAAGGTTAAAAAAAATCGGTTGAGTTTGAGTCATTGGTTGGTATTTTTGGTAAAAGGATAAAACAACGATAGTAGGATAAAGAAAATGAGAAACTGATAAGAATGAATTCTCAAATTATCAACTTAAAATGTTAATTTATTCACTTCAAAAGACTTACATATTTAATAAGAATTTTAGTTATAACATATAATGTTACACGAGTTTCTTAATTAAATAAAATTTACATTGATATCATTTTATGTTTTAACGTGAAAAGTAATCCGATTTACATGATTTTGTATAGACAACATTTGATTTTCGGTTCAAACCGATAATTTTACTTTTATACTTTAAAATGTTACATATTTAGTAAAAATTTCAGTTACAACTAAAGGCAGAGGGCCATTGGAGCCCAAGGGGGCCTCCCCTGTTGAAATTTTAATTTTTACCCTAATTTGTGCCGCAAAAAAATATAGGTGCTATCTTTGTCTATAAAAAGGGGTAAATTCTTTATTCTTCCAACATAAAAAAATTGTGATAAAATTATCGACTCCACAACAAGATTAAGCTCTTCTATTACGATTGTCAGAGATTTATTGAATTTGTTCAAATTCAATCAAGTGTCAATTTTTAAAGGTAAGTAATAAGCAATACTATATTTATTATTTTTTGGTTGAAACTGTTTGATCTTATATTTAATTTTAGTATTAGTTTAGTTAATCAAATAATTATTAAGTTGAATTAAGAAAATAAAATTATAAATCTAATTTTTAAATTATTAGATAATTATTGTTAACTTGAATGTTGATTTCTAAATTTATTTTTTGTTATGTTAATGAATTAATTTCATATAAATGCAGCTTGGCATGGGAAAAAAATCCAACAATTATTAAAATTTTTAAGAGAAAAAATGGTGAAACTTCGAAAAATATAACAAATGAAATTTCAATTGGTACATCTGTTAATGCTTCACCTCCAGTAGATAGACCTTCAAAGATGGCAAGAAATCAAGAATCAAGCACCAACTCTAATTACTTGGAGCAAGATCCTAGAAAACACAGGCAAATATGGGAATATCCTTTTGAACAAGAAAAAAATACAAGAGCTTATATTGCTGAGGGTCCATATCAACCAGTACTTTCTAAATTCAAAAAATATGGACATGTTTCTCATACTCACTGATTCCAAGCTTCCTGGTACAAAAATTTTCTTTCATGGTTAGAATATTCTCCTGAAAAAGATGTTGCCTTTTGTTTTACTTGCTTTATTTTTGACAAGCCAGATAACCATCCATCACACAAGACTTTAACTATGATTGGATTTTGAATTTAGAAGAAAGTAAATGGAAAACAATTGTTATTTTAAGATGCATATATGTTCAGAACCTAATTCACCCCATAAAATTGTAGAGCAGGAATTAGAAGACTTTCTTAACCAGGAACACATGTGTCATATATTATCAACCACTCAGCTGTAAAATAGTATTTAAATTTCAAAATAACTTCAAAAATGTTGTAGAAACCTATTTTCGTCCTTATTTATTTCAACATATTATATTATATAGTATGAATTAGCATCATATGTATCATATAACATACACATACTATATTATATAATAATATGATATAGTGGGTATATATATGGTGCCCATACATTACATAATATAATTAATTTGCTTTCCTTTTACAAAGTCCAGCCGAAACCCAGTTGGCCCATCAGTCCAACCCAACAGCAAACCAGAACCCTTACAGACCAAGATCTTGGAGTAACCCGAACTGACCCACGCTGTAACCTGAATCGACCCACGCTGTAACCCGAACCAGTCCAAAGCAATTAGGGTTTGCAATCTTAACCCTTTATTTCCTCAGGCACCGCGCATCAAGGATCATCAGATCAACCCACCATCTGACGATCAAGAGGACTTGGAGAAGTTTTCATCCACTACATGTTCCAGCCGCATCCAACAACCCCTCCTCGGAGTTCACGACACCAACATCACCAAGTCAAAAAAAAACAAGAAGTCAGTCACGAATGACTCTCAACAACTGAAAAGCAAGCATTTTATTTCCAATAGGAAACTCTAAATATAGAATTCTTAAGACTATATATACGCGTGTAACCTAAGTTAGAAAACACAAGAAATTAATGATAGAAGTACAAGGAAATCAAAGCACAAGTTATGAACTTTTCGAAAGAAAATACAAAGGTATTTTTTTTCGTTCTTACCTTCTTCGGGTCGTATGTGGCTTTAGGGGTATTTATTTTGTTTTTTTTCGATTCAAAAAACCCAAAAAGAAGGGTTACACTAATGAACGGGGGAGGGATGTTCAAGAATTTCCTTCTTAGATCTAGCCCTCCCCGGGGTGATTTTAAAAAAAACTAAGTTGGTTTTTTCGAAACGAGGGAAACAAAGATTTAGAAAATGTAAAAAAATTTGGCCACCGTCGATGGACGACGACAGATGCCGATTTACAACGGCCGGCGAGGCGGTGGCCAACCAGAATCTGGGTTTGGTGGTCGTGTTCTTCGTTTTCATGAAGAACATGATGAACACTTAAGAGGTTTTTTAGTTTTTGGTTTTGATCGGTTTGAATTGGGGGAAAGAAAATGAATTGTGTTTTTAGATTTTGGTCTTTTTTATTTATTTTTATTTAATTCCATTACTTTTCTTTCTTTCTTCCTTATTTATTTTATTTTATTTTATTTCACTTTATTTTATTTATTTTATTTTATTATTTTCCTTTTTTTGGAGAATAGTCTTTTATTATTTTTATTTTATCTCTTTTTATTATTTAGTTATTTTTAGGGTTTTTATGTTTTTATTTTATTTCACTACTTTATTTGAATAATAGTTTATATTTAATCTTGCAAATAGTATTTATTTTTATTTTTATATTTTTTAATAGACCTGTTTTCCTTTATATATTTACCGTGTGTTTAATACTAGCACATTGTTTTTATTTATGTTAGTTCCTCAGTATGCCTATATTTTTTTTACCTAAAACATCATAATTTAACATATATTTTTCCTTTTGATTATGCATTTTACTTTATCTAACATTTTTTTTAATTTTGAGGGTATTTCAATCAATCGGAGGTAAGTAATTTGGATCAAACTTTTATCTTTGG